TGCACTCATTAAAAAAAGCACTTACTGAGCATTACCCATGTTCAGTAGTTTGTGAATATAGAAACGAATAAGTCACAAATGTACTCAAAGTACTCACAGCTGATGAATGGACAGACACATGCAAAGGTAATACAGATTGTACTCTCATTGTGCTGTTTGAATCAGAGCATGAGCAAGTCTTCACTGAAATGACTGTGAAAATCTGCCTGGGGGAGTTTGAGAAGGCTTCACTAAAAAGGTAGTAGAAGCTTGGCCAGGTATAGAAGGGGGACAGAGGAAAGCAGTTCAGAGAAATAGTGTGAGCTACAAGCACAACTCTTTCAGGAAATGGCAGATGATCCAGTGTGGTTGAAACTAGGATGAATATTTAGGAGAATGGAAGGAGTGAGGCCAACAATTTAGGCAGGAAGAAGTTTGCAAACATATTTAGTTGTTTTAATTTTTCTTGTAATCCAATAGAGGTTTTCAGCAGGGAAATGAAATATGTGATCTGTAACACTGTAGTGGATGGGGTGAGCATAGATAGAAAACTAAAGAGATCTTTATAGTGACACAGGAAAGAGATGATGAGATGTAAATCAGGGAAGATAAAGGGCATGTAGTACAGAAGAACAGTATAAGACAAAACTCAGAGACAGGATCAAGGGCCACCATCACTGACTGAGAAAGAGCTCCATGGGTTCTTGGATCTGTCAGAAGGCCGTATGGCTCGAGCACAATAAAGGGAAAAATGGAAGGAGATGAGACTGAAAAGTGAGTAGTGACCAGATCACACAGGATCTTGTAAACCAGAGTTAGGATATGCATTCCATCCTAAGCACATGGTCACCCATGAAGAGTTTAGTGAAGGCTTAGCAGGATAAAATTTGTCTTTCTAAATGATCCCTTTGCAGCACAGAGGATGGATTTTTATAAGGGGCCCAAGATTCAAACCATAGATTTTAATTCGGAGGCTTTTGTAGTCTAGATGAAAAATAATGGCTATTTAAATAAGAATGCTGGCAGGACAAAAAGAAAAGAGTAGAGACTGACACACATCTTGTTGATCACACTTGCCTTTTTAGATTGGATATGAAGGAAGAGGGAAAGGAATGAGTCAAGGATTACCCCTGGGCTTCTGACCTAGTTGCCGGATGGGTAGTAGTCATATGTGACCAAGATGGGCAAGGAATGAAGAGGAAGTAGTTTGTGGGGAGATAAGATTTCTATTCTGGCTGGATATCATTTGAGATGTCTGTGAGACATCGAAGTGGAGGTGTTCAACAGGCAGTAGGATATGCTAGTCTGGAACTCAGTAAAAGCTTTCTATTTGAGAATTCCCTGAACATAGATGGTAAACATGCCAAGAGAATTCAGAGAGAACATCTAGAGAAGAGTAAGAATAAAAGGAGAGTAAAAGAGGAGAGAAAAGAAGGAGGGGAGAATAAAGAAGCAGTGACAAGATCACTGCTTACATTCAGGGGAATAGTGTAGCTAAATTGGAAGAAATTTCAAATTAAGAGATGGGCCGGGTGTGATGATGCACACCTGTACTCCCACCACTTTGGGAGATTAAGGTGAAATAATTGCTTGAGGTTAGGAGTTTGAGACTAACTTAGGCAACATCATGAGAACCTCTCTCTATTAAAAAAATAAAAAATAACATTAAGACATGAGGAAGTAGAGAAGGAATCAGTCAAATTTTCAAACCAGTTTTGTTGTGAAGGGGAACAGAGTTGAGAGATATTACATGGAGAGAGCCATAAGATCAAAGAATGCAGGATGGTGCTGATGGTAGTCAAGATAAACATTTTAGAAAAGGGAGCAATTTATATGGGAGGGGTACAATTGTAATGGTAAATGGCATTTTTATAATGTTTTACAGTTTAAAAGGACTATTCTCAGATATGATTCTGTCTTCCCTTATGTAAAACTCAATAAGATAGTCATGGAAGGTATGGTTACTAATTTATAGGTGAAGAAACTAAAACTTTAAAAATATTAGTGATTAATGTTAGTCTATATTGGTAGGCTTTTGGCACACCATTACTTAAACCTATGTCTTTAGATTATAAAACTTTCCCCTCTACCATGGTCATGAGTTTGAGTTATATTTCTGTAACTTGAATTTGCTGATGGAAGTGTGTAATGATTTAAGGCACTGGATCTGAATGCAGGACACCAGAGTTCTCAAATTTCTAGTTTAATCTTTGATGTTTTCCAACCATGGTGATTTTCAGTAAGTAACTTAAACTCTTGTTTTCTCAATTCAAAAAGTGTGCACATTTACTGAGACCTTTCTATGTTTCAGATGTGTGCTAAAGATTTTTTTTTTGAGTTGGAGTTCCACTCTGTCACCCAGACTGGAGTGCAGTGGCATGCTCCTGGCCACAGCAGCCTCGACCTGCTGGGCTCCTTCCGCCTCAGCCTTCCAAGTAGCTGGAACTACAGGCACGTGCTACCACGCCTGGCTAATTTTTTTATTTATTGTAGAGATGAGGTCTGGCCAAGTTGCCCAGGTGGGTCTTGAACCCACGGGCTCAGGCAATCCACTCACCTCAGCCTCCCAAAGCGTGAGATTACAGGCTGAGCCACCGAGCCTGGCTAAGATTTTAAAAGATATCTGAAATCCTTAAAAGTAACTTTTTAGGCAGGAACTGAAAAAAAGGAGGCACCATTCAAAATTTTAGGGAGGAAATATTTAAGCATTATCAAAGGAAATAACAATAAAAGGCAGAAAAATATAGAAAGATAAGGATTCAGGATGAAAAAGGGGCAGTGTAAAGGGCAGTGGTAAGTCTTGCAAAAAGTTGGCGGTGGGACATCTCTTCTTCTGAAGGTCATGAAGGCTAGGAAGGAAAGTGGGTGAAGGGAGAAGCGTGGGGAGATGGAAGTTAACCTAAGTGAGGCGATGGAAAGTAACAAAAGGGCTTCTCATATTCTCAAGTAAGCTGGAGGTAAGGCTTTAGCTGGAGAGATTTTTGTGTCTCAAATAAGGATCTATGGAACCCTTTCCAGAAAAAAGTCTAAAGAACTCATAGGGAAGTGAATTCTTTTTTTTTTTATTAATCAATATTTTTTATTATGGTTTTGTGGGGTACAGTTAAGGGTTAGGTGTACAATTACATTTCATTCTGGCACCCTGTTGATAAGAGGTGTTTTCCCAT